AACCCACCTCCCCATTTTAAACCTCAGCACACCCCCCGCTCAGAGACCCCCCAATGCCACCACCACTATCCCACTCACCATCATCTCCGAGCCCGCTGGCGTCCCAAAATGAGCCCAAAGCAAACCCAAAGAGCCACAGTTCTGTGCTGGACCCCTCCCTTTTATCCCCAAGTTGGGACGGTGACCCCCGCAGGGCCTGCAGGCTGGGGGCAGCTCCTGACCACCGCAGGGTTTCACGTTTCAGGCCCGCAGCCTGCGCTAGGATCTCCCTCTCCTCGCACGTGATGTTCACGTCAAGCATAAATATTTCCCCGTTAGCACGGCTGGAAAACTTCTGCTGGAAGGAGAGGGTGGAAAGCAGAGCCGGGGACATGCGATCCTTGTGGGACAAAGGTGCCATAACAGCTATGGGGGGGGGGGATGGGGAGAGTTAGGAGGAGCTGCTGCTGTCCCTGTGCCATCAGCCCCACCACCCAACTCCTCTGCTCATTTCCAGCCCTGGAAGATGACAGCACAGTGTAAAGAAAAAGGATTTTTATTAAAAAAAACACACCAAAACTCAAGCAGATGTGAAGGAAGCTCCACCCAGCTAGTGTCATCTCCTGGAGCAAATACGAGGTTTTAAAAAACCTAACGACTTTTGAACGAGGCACTTTCATTAAAAGAAAGCACAGAAGCAAAGCAGAACTGGTCACCCAGAGCTCTCACATTCAGCCAGGAAGAGCCAACAGATTTCTGGCTGCCAGAGCAAATAAATTTCTCCTATGAAGGCAAAGCACAGAAGTATCTCTGTATTAAGATTTAAGATCGTAAATATTCTGAAACATTCAGCCCGTCACTTGGCAGCTTGATGGACAGGTATCTCTGCTGGAAGTGGCAGTGAGATCTGCAGGAACTTCCCTCAGTATCATGGAGCTCATCGGGTTAACCCTGAAACCTCAGTGATAAACCAGGTAAAGCTTCTGCTGGTGCAACCTTTAAGTCAGCCTTGGCTCCAATAGGGACCAGGGATTCCAGTTCCACTCCCCCCACTAAGAAACACAGATTTGTACAGCAAAATGCAGGGGAGAAGGGAGAAGCAAGGCAGGCTATGTACAGCAGCCGAGCAGCTTCACCTACAAGAATTCACACCCCCTCACAAGGCCCTCAAAAAACATTTCCAGGATAAAAAATAACCAAACAAATTAACATGAAACTGTTTTCCTTTGCCTCAAGCCAGGCTGAGATCCCTTCCAAAAGCAGACAAGTCATTCCATTTGCTCTGGAAAAAAACCCAAGTCTCTTAGAGTTAGGCCTTTTGTTCCTTGATTGACATCCAGAGGACAATCCTCAGGTCAGCAGAAGTTTCTCAGAAACCAGACAGCCCTCCCAACAGGGGCTGTTTGCACCCATCTGGCCCCAGAGCTGATGCTTGCAGCTCAGAGTGCTCTCCAATCAATGGGCTTCTTGCCGGACTTCTTTAGCAGCTCGTTTGTCTTGGAGAAATGCCGACAGCCAAAAAACCCTCTGTTCACAGAGAGAGGGGAAGGGTGAACTGTCTGCAGGATGTGGTGGCGTTTCTGTGAAGGGTGAAGGAAACAGCTCGTTAGATCTCTGCACTTTCAGGGACAAGGCTGGCTGCTCCACGTCGTTTAATTTCCTCTCTCTGCATTTCCTCAGTCATCAGACCAAGAAAGGAGGGCTGAAGAACTCAGCCATAAAGGCAGAGACTTTTGTCCCACTGAGGGCAGGCTGCACAGAACCAACAACACCCAGCCCATTTTTCAATTGCTGTTATCCTAACAGCACTTATTCACAAGATTTTTTCCTAGAAATACCAGCTCTGCCATCAGCTGGAGGCTCTTCTGACAACAGAACGTTACTCTTGCTTCACTTTTGTTGCTTAATTCTGGCAAAGACCAAGCTAAACAAAAGGGCAATCAAGTTCTGCAGCAGCAGAGTTCAAGCAGGCATTAAAACACAACCCTGTAAAGAAAGCACCCTCTAGCGTCCACCCCTTAACAAAAAACATCAGTGAGCCACTGCACAACCCATACCCTGTCAATAGAGCTGCCCTTCCTCTGTGCATAAGCTCCCCACAGCATGAAAACAACACCATGCAGGTTCTTGTTCAGCCAGGAGACCACCACATCTGTGAACTGCTCCCAGCCCTTCTCCTTGTGGGACGTGGCCTGGTGGGCTCGAACTGTGAGGACAGCATTGAGCAGGAGCACACCTAGCACACAAACAAAGCCACAGGTTAGCTGCCTTCTGCTTCCCCTGAGAAGAGATAATGGTTATATTTTCATCCCAAGGTACCTGTCAGGACACCCAGAATTGATTTTGTTTTACCGATGGGCTGTGCCCAACCACAGATCTGCTTTTTAGGATGCCTTACCCTGCTTGGCCCAGCCAGTCAGATCACCATGACCAGGATGGGTGAAGTCTTCGATATCAGTGGACAGTTCTTTGTAAATATTTTCCAAACTGAGATGATGGGAGAAAGACAAAAGATTATGAACTATGCACCTGGGACAGACAAACAATTTGGTATTTAGATACTCAAACAAGCTAATATCTCATATTTTTTTTATTAGACTTTTAGATTGGATACAAAGAAGTTGTTTACACTGAGGACAGCAAGGCACAGGGTGCCCAGAGAGGTGGTGGTGCCCCATCCCTGCACACAGCCATGGCCAGGGCTGTGAGCACTGATGGAGCTGTGGGTGTCCCTGTGCACTGCAGGCAGTGGGAACAGACGGCCATTGGGAGTCCCATCCAACTCAAACCTCTCTACGATCTGAGAGTCTTTGTCCAATTTCTACTTAAGTTTCTACTACTCCTCCTGGCTAAGTTACATCTTTGCCTTTCCATTCATTAATCAAGTTCTAATCATACAAGCACTTCTAGCAGCACTCAAGTGTCAAAAACTCATTGCAGACAATCAGCACAAGACAGACCTGTGCCATTAAAGATACTCATTTATAGATAAGAGCAGACAGCATCACTCACTGCTCTTCCCCTAAACATGGACTGCACTGAGTCCCATCTAATATTTAAAATAACACACTCATTACAGCATGTTCTTGAGAATACAACCTACAGAAAATGAGCTGTGTCTTTAAGACGTTTCTCCTAGGCAAAGCACAGCTGTAACATCTCATCAATTATCTCACACACAGGTGTGAGTAACAGAACCAAAAATAATTTGTTAATGAAAGGAATTTTGTAAGGTGGGTACTGCCATACCTGGGGGGAGGTGGAACAGGTTTCTGGACACTGAAACAGAGCCCGTGAGCTTGATTAGGTCCATGATAAGGATCTTGTCCCAAAATTACAACTTTTACCTGGAAGCAGACCTTAATTAGTACTGAATCATATTACTGTTCCCCAAAAAATGGGAAAAAAAAAGGAAAAGTTTGCATACAGGCTCTATCCTAGAACAAATACAGACAAAAAAACCGCAGTAACTGCCTTTCAATCACTGACATTATAAAAAAGTTAAGAAGCAGCCCCTACCAAAGGCTAACACCACAGCTGTGCTGCCAAGATTATAGAGGTGCTTTGAGTGCAAAAACCTAAGTTTGCACAAATCCACAATCCACTTGATGAATGTTTCCAAAGAAGCTTTCTGAGTTTTGAATTCTATGCCACATTCACTGTGAAACTGATGACCACACACAGCTTATTAGCAAGGCATTACCTTAAACACTAACGTACATATCTCTGTATTACAGTTCATTAGATAGGAGAAAACCCAAGGTGCACAAGACCCCATATCAGGCCCCACCCTCCCACAAGCCCCACCCCTAACGAACTTCTGATCCAAACCACCCACACCTACTCACATCCCTGATGTCGCACATCTGTGTCCAGGTGAAGACCTGCTCCGGGGGCGGGTACACGGTGTACTTCTTCCTCTCCTCGGCCACGAATGCCATCAGCTGCAGGCAGAACAGGGGGATCAGCGCAGGGGTAGCACTGGGGCAGCAGCACGGTTCGGGCCCAGCCCTAGACACTCACGTCCACGAAGTAGGGCTTGGTGAACTCCGCCGCCAGCTGCCGCCGCCAGCTCTCCCCGAAGCCCGGAGGAACGCTGCGCTCGTTCAGCCTCCTCAGCGCCAACTCTTTGTTCCTGCGCATCCGTTCCAGCTGCTCGGGGCTCAGCGCTGAGGCCCTGCCCGCTTCATGATCCGAGGTTTTCAGCCTCTTAGCGGCATCATCCTGCAAACGGCGAGAGAAAAGACGCCTGCAGAACGGGCGCAGAGAGGCGCGGCCCAGCCGTTTGCCGAGCACCAGTCCTAAGACCGCCATGCCACAATCCGCCCCTCCCCACAACACACGCGTCTTTTTCGCGGCAAAACAGCGACAGACCCGTTCCGATTGGTCACCGCGCCCTAAGAGGACCCGCCCACAAGCGCGGCTCTGACCTCCCGCTCTCCCATTGGCCAGCGTAAAAAAACCCTCTTATTTCTATTGGCTCTCGACGGGAGTGATGTGCTAGTCTGCCTAGCAATCGTGACGTAAACAAGCCTGCAACGCCTATTGGACGTTATTGGTTGCTCAGTCAGGCGTGCAGAAACGCGGGGTTTTGGAAGCAGCTCCCAACGGCCGCTTGCACCGCGCCCCCCACACCCGCACCGCACCCCCCACACACAGCACCGCATCTCTTCAACAGCCACGAGCTCTCGGCAACCCCCACCTCACCAGCCCCCAGTGCTCTGTGCAGCCCTCAGCCACGTCCAGCGTCCCCAACGCCCCTTTACCCCTATACCCTCCACCACACAGTTACCTCAGTACCACCGCCAGGCTCTGGGGAGCGGCTTCGTTTCCTCGGCGGCGCAGGGCTGAAGAAGCAATGCAACGTCTTCTGCCCGATCATAGCTGCGGCAGCGCCAAAGGGAAGGCAGCAGCGGCGGGACCCGCGCGAAAAGGTGGTCGAGGGGGGCGGGGCTACGATTTGGCGCCAAAAGCTCGCGCAGGCGCCGGGGGCGGGGCCTGGTGGTGGCAGGGGGCGGGGCTTTAGCAGGCACATGCGCACTGCTTCCGGTACGGAGGGGTCGGGTGATTCCCGCCTTCGGTCGCTCCCTCAGGGAGGGCCGCTCCTCAGCGCCCGCCCCGTACGGGTACCGTCCCACGTATTACCCGCTTTGCGCATGGACAGATTCGTGGTTAAACGTTCTGCTAAGGAACCTGGGGGTGATGGCAAGAGGCCCCGGTTGGAGGAAGAGGCGGACGGCCTGCCCCATCCCTCACAGCCCGGTCAGGAGATCCGCGCCCAGGGCCTGAGCCTCGAGTACCGCCTCCTCTTCGGCCGGGCCGAGGCTGACGAGATCTTCCAGCAGCTGGAAAAGGAGGTGGAGTACTTCGAAGGTAAAGCAGCTGAGGGGGAGGGTCTGATCCTTTAGAATTGGGTTGGAAGGGACCCCAAAGCCCCCCCAGCCCTGCCGTGTGCTGGCTGCCCCCAGCTCCGGCTGCCCAGGGCCCATCCATGGCCTCGGTCACCTCCAGGGATGGGTATCACAGCTCTGGGCAGCACTGACAGGGTCTCACTGCCCTCTGAGTGAAGAATACTGAGTTAATTTTGATCCATCTTGTTTAAACAGGTGAACAGACGAAGTTGCACGTGTTTGGCAAGTGGCATAATATCCCCAGGAAGCAGGTAACCTATGGAGACCCCGAGTTAACGTACACTTACTCAGGTGTCACCTTTTCTCCTAAGCCGTGGATCCCAGTTCTCAACCACATCAGAGATCGCCTTGTTTTGGAAACAGGACATACTTTTAATTTTGTTGTTATTAACAGGTATGTCTGATTCCTATTGCTTGGTGTACTGACAGATCACCAAGGAGTAGTTTGACATTCATTTTGCTGGATTGACGGGTGAACTAATTATTCTGTTTACAGATATAAAGACGGTGAGGACCACATAGGTGAACATCGAGATGATGAGAAGGAGCTGGTTCCACGCAGCCCTATTGCATCAGTGACTTTTGGAGCCTGTAGAGACTTTGTTTTCAGGCACTGTGATTCCAGGGGGAAGAATGCAACACGGCACATTAAGCCCATCAGACTGCAGCTAGCCCATGGCAGCCTGCTGATGATGAAGTACCCCACTAACGTGTACTGGTACCACAGCCTGCCCATCCGCAGGAGAGTGCTTGCTCCAAGAATCAACCTGACATTTCGGAAAATGATGGTTGTTGACAAAAAATGAGATAGCAATGAAGCACCTGGTCCATAGACCCTGAATACTGAAGTTTTCCTCCTCGATATAGCTGTCAGTTTCTCAATCAAGCTGTGTTTGATGATCCAAGGCATTAAACCAGAAGATAGCGTGCTTGGTAACTTGCTAATAAATTCTGCAGCTACTGATCTTAAATGCCAGGAATACTTTCAGTAAATAGTTGCTGATACACCACTTATTATCGTGTAATACTCTTGTTTTGGTCAGGATGAAATTTGTTCTCACCTAATCTTAATTATAGCCACTTTTTTAGAAAGTCCAAAATATTCTTCATCCTTGAAATAGTGAGATAGTTTATAAATACCATAAAGCGTGAGGTGTAATCATTTAGAGTGAGCCTGTAAGCTGATGGTATTCAATGGGTGACACTTTCTTGGATGGTCTATCAATGAGCTACAGCTTGCTTGGTTTTATTTAAATAAAACACAAATGAGACTGACATAAGAAGATGATTGCTAAGATATTTATGCAGTGAGTGCAGTATGTTTTAGTCACTCTTTTACCTCCTCTGCTTGCGTGGGTTTTTGTGGGCAGCAGTGTGGTGGGACAGAAATACATCAGAGGTACCTCTTCGTCACTCAGTCCTCTGTGCAGAAACCAGGGAGCAGAAGGTGACTTTCAGGGGAATATGTTTTATACAGACAACACGGTGTGAAAAGCTATCACTTCTGAGAGTACTTGTTTTTCTAAACAATTATCCCTAGGGAATCCATTCTGACTACCTGAAAGCCATTCCCATCCGTGCTCCATCCTACTGAAATGAGGAGTGTCCAAAGTGTCCACCAGGTCTTAAGGAATCAAGCAATGGTAAGTACTGAGCAAAAATGTGAGTTAATCCCTGTATAACCGTGCTTGGGAGCATGTGAATGAATAGCCTTCAGTCTCTTGGGGCTGTGGAATTAACAGCAGTTTAGAAAAGTTGGAATTAGAAATTCTTATCCTCTGTATTGTGAAGAGCTGCTTCTATGAGATATACTGTGTATATATGATAGATTGGCCTTGAAGAAATTAGCAAATATGAACAGTTACTTTTTTTATTAAGTTCTTTTATTGCTACTGTACAGTTACAAAAAATACCCTGAAGTGAAAATGCAACTTCAAACAGCAGTGCAGTGCTGTGACTCTAACATCACACTTTTGTTAAATAATACACAAAATAAAACAAGAATTATCCAAACACAGAGATGTTATCCTAGAGGTCTTATCTGATGTTTTGTAAGCTCCTGCATTTTATTAACACATTTTCCATCATGAAAGCTTGTAACAATATTGGACGAAGCCCAGTGACTTCAAAAGGTGAAGATGGCAAATATCTGCAGAAGCCTTTGAGCTCACAGTAGGCTGAGTGTCCAGCACAGGACTGGGCTTGAGGTTCTGTCACTTGCTTCCTTCCTCACACTGAGGGCTAAACCAAGGCTGCCTGCTCCTTCCCAGCAGCAAAAGCTACAACAAATGCTGACTGTTCAGCCGTCATCTCTGCACCCTTTGAGGAAGGTTTCAGAGTGAACCTGCAGCTGAATGAAAGCGAGCAGGTTATCAATGTCACACAGTTATGCTTCCATTCTGATCAAACTGACCCGACAGAAAGCAGCTCTATGCAAAGTACTGAACGTGCAAGTTTGCAATGCTTTGGGTCTGACAAGTTTGAGACTGTTAGCCTGTGGTGTGTGCATGTTCTGACACACCTCCAGCATTACTGCTTCCTAAACAAAATTATCTGAAGATGAACTTCACAAAACCTTTAAACAGCCCCTACTGAGAATAGGCTTTGCAGAATATACACTATGGCTGGTGGAAATGTTTGGAAGCTTTCAGGTGCAAATTGTAGCCCTGCTGGAACAACATGCTTTACAGAGCTTCTCCTGCACTCCCATGCTGCCCAGAACGGGGTTTTCCTCTCCTCTTAGCTTCTGCAAGTCTGTTAGATATTACCTAATGGCCAGGACATTTTTGGCATTTTGCAACCTTTTTTCCCATTTTTTCCCCTAACTTAACATATAAAAGTTAAAACCATGCTACCAATAGCCTAGCCTAGACAGGGAGGCTTCTCACTAATTGGTATCTCTACAGATTTATAAAGAGTGTTTTATCTATTATTACTTTGGAACAATGTGAGTGTAGTAAACAGATTCTTACGTACATCTATTATTATTTCAGCTGGTTCTGAGACTTCATTAAGGAACTCTGAATGCCTGAGAGCTTCAGGCAGTGATATGAATATATGAGGTACAAAGTTACCTAAAAAAAACTGTGAAGACAGTAATGATTTGAAAACTTAATTGCTGTTTTACACCGAAAAATCTAGTCTGAGGAATGAGTCTTTTTCCTCCAAGTTAGAATTATAGAAAAGAGCTAAAAATAGTCTACATACTTTATTCCTGATAATTTAAAAGCAGTCAAAATTAATTTTTCCTTCTCCATCCATGCTTTAAGATACTATTATTTTGAACACATCAGACAATCTAGAGCAGCAAATTTACAATTTATATTTATATGGAAATCTGCATATCTAATGCAGTGACACCAGAATTTGCAGGCTGCCTTACCAGACAAGTGCCCATTGGTCCAGATTCAATTCTGTATGCTCAACTTTTACAAGGACGCTTGGGTTGCTGTTTATCTCAGCTCACAGTCACAACCAGTATAAGCTCTAATGTTCAGCTGCAAGCCTGACAACATACATCCAAAAGGCTGATGACAAATGACAGTTTTTAGCATTAAAATAGGAAGGGCACATCTAGAACACCAATTACAGTAGCCTTAAAGTCAATGGTATTAAAAGCTGTAGTCCATACTACAAGTATTAGTATTCAACAGTTTGAGTGACCAAGAAAATTACAATATTGACAGCTAGCAAACACTTCTGTCTTTTCATTTCACCTGTAGTGCAAAGATACAGAGCAACAAGTCAGGGTGTCAGCTCTTAACTGATAAAAGAATTTGATCTTTTTTCCTGGAAAAAGGAAACTGCTGCCTGAATCAGTAATTCCATGATATATAGAGAACTGAACTATTAGGAAGTGGGGAGGGAATGAAATTTTTTGGTCATGCATGTTATATAAGGAGACCTTCTTTTATTCACTGGCTGGGATATCAGGAGAAATGTGCTGTCACTCTTTTCATCCCATCATCTTGAGACACCTATCAGAACACAGCTGGCATGCAGTGGACTCAGACAATGGTAATCTATTCAAATAAGCTCAAGGCACTTTGTTTCTTAAATCATTGCCTTTGATAACAGTAGCTTCCTAACAACTGCTCCTGGGGCTCCCTTGTTCAGAGATGTCTGCTGTCAAGTGTATAGGGTTCCACATCTCCCCTTGAAAACACGCATGTGTTCAGAATATGGAAAACAGCCTTGGAAAGTCTGTTTTGAGATGTCTGTCTCAGAGCTGTGATACTTACTACTGAACAGAATAAATGCTTATCTAAAACAAATACACTTTGGACTGCACAACGTTAGCAGGCCAACTTTGGGTAGCTTAATTTTGGTACAAAACTACTCCCAGCAAGAGCCAGCTGCTGCCATGGAGGGAGGGGAAAGTTAAAGGGCCTGTGGTGGATTATTTGCATAACAGACAGGAGGTGCAACGTAGATCTCAGCAGAGGAATTTGGTCAGTTTTTGTCCTCCTCCATCTCTCTTAATCACTCTTCAGGCCTCAACTCCAAACTCTGGTGCTGTACCCTTGAGTGAACACGCTCATAGAACAGCAGGTAAGCACTAGAGGAAAGGACCTCCTGCAAACTAGCTTTGCGAACAGTATCATCTGAAATCCATAACCACTGATTGCTGACAGAGAGCGGGCTCTTGGAAGAAGGCGGAGAGCGGCGGTAAGTCACAAAGTGTCCAGAATGCATGTCTCCATGGTGCACAACCACCGCCATCAGCCGGTACAGGTACACAGGGGGACTGAGAGAGAAAGGAGAAAAAGGGTCAGCAGACCTCATGTGTCACACATGGACCAAAAGAAGCTCCAGTTGCTTTGTCTTTGCTTGCAATTTCTTTCCAGAGCAAGTAATTGACTCTAAGAGACGTGCTGCCTGACTCTACTGAAGAAAGCAAACCATTCATTTTAAAGGTTTAATGCACCAGACAGCTACTACATCTTGCCCAGTGTAACTGCCTGAATTCTGTACAAATGTTTCCCACCAAACCAGCGTTTATCTCTTACAGCACTGGACAGGAAAGTTATTCTAGAAAAATGTAATTCTTAAAAGAGGTCAAATTCTGGTGGATAATCCACAGATAAACAATGGGTATACTTCAAGGACTTGCTCTACAACTGTCTTCATAGCAAATGTTTGGCACAGAGTGTTTCCTCACTTCTCATTTCCTAAAGTATTGTGGGAAATGTGTTCCCCGTGGGATAATAACCAACAGTTCTGTAACAGAATGTTGGTCACAGGACTGAAAAGGGAACTTTCTCAAAAACAAATCATCATCAGCAGCAGCATCAAGATTGGATTTATTAAGTAGAATTATGACAGGTGCAATTGAGATTGTTAAATAGAACTCTTACAGATATTTTTTTCCAATATTGTAAGAATTTCTTGCAGGAGTTTAAAGAAACCAAACAACTCTCACAGTAATAGTTAAAAGTCAAAGAAGGGGTAGTAGGAAAAACAGCATGAATGAGAATATGGCAATCCAGAAGGATGATTACTGCATGCTGAACCAAAGAAAGGAGATTCTGAGTTCTCCCTGTAATAAGCTAAACTCCCTTAGTAAGAGAGAAATGGAGCCAAAGACAATCAGTAAGGAAAATAGAAAATTTTCTGCACAGGAACTAAGATAGATGTTAAGCCCTATGACTACACAGCCTTTTGATAAAGACAGTAAAGGAAAACATAATTCAAATGGACAGAAATACAAACAGGATACACATCTCACACTTACCTGCATTCAGGGAATGCAGTGAGTGGAAAAGTTCCCGAGGACATTAAGAGTGAAGAGGAGCAGGCCCCATTCATAAGGAGAGATTTGGTACCACATGTCTGTTCTGCATCTGCAAAACAAAACAGACATTGGTAATTTAACTTAAATGCTACCACAAGTATTGCTGGCAACTGCTTCTGTTTCTACAGTGCCTGTCATCACAGAATGTGAAGGTAGTTTGCTTATTTTAATTCATTACATATCACAGTCCCTTGATATCTAAAGTCAAGAGGTAAACACAGGTAAATACCTGAAGGTTTTACTGCTATCCCATCCCTTGTTCCAGGCTTTGTCTCTTCGGAGCTTTTCTGATTCAGATCATTCTGAGTTGATTTATGAACAGGAATGTGATATTTGTAGATGTCCATGATTAGGAACTCATTGAACTGTACATGTTCATGACGTTTCAGAGGAGTCCCTTGGTTTGACCAGCTCAGTCTTTGCAAATGGATACACAAACACTGAGGGAGCTTCAAAGTTCCATACAAAAGAGAAGTTCAAAATACATTTTAAGTGAAGAGAAACAGCTGCTAAAAGCATTCTAATTGAACTAAATGGTAAGTCCAGAAGATAAAGAATTAAGTCACTGAACTGTTGTTCCTTTATGTGCTATTTCTGTATCTAAACTTACTGCAGTACTATTTCTGAGTCATGGCAAAAATCTCACAATTGTTGAGATTTCTAATAGTGCCATATTGCTTACTAGGCAGTAAGATAGGGCATGTTAATTACTGACTCCAAATGGGGAAAGGAAAAAA